ACTTCTTTACGCACGGTAGGGTAAGTTCGTTTCATGCGAGTTGCTATGTAACGAAATCATGCAACGCATTTCCCCCACTGTTTGTCCCAATGTATGCTTAGATCTCTAAATCTACGCAACGGATTTTAATGCGTTTTTTTTTTTTTAATAAATAGAGTAATTCAAGAGGAAGATTTATATGTATAATACATGCATAATATAGCAGAGAAACACTGATAATTTTATAGGTTCGTATTGTGATGTCGTAAATAAACCCTACGAGATAGATCAAAATAATATACTACAGTATTGTACACCTTAAAAAGGTCTACAAAAAAGTTCGCGATGGTATATGTCTATCTCTTAGGGATAACCCACAATGACCATTTTTTATTCTTTACTTTTTACGAGAAATAATGGCTTATTTACGAAGCAATATGAAGCAATACAGCATTAATCCTTATCCAATTAAGTACTTTTAAATACATTGTGCATTTAATATAGATCAATATGGCCCTTTACAGCATGTAATTTAAATGAATATTTTCGAAAATATTACAGACTTAAAATGTAGGGACATAGCGGTTCGGCGGTACCGGCTGGTTTGTATTGTCTAATGACAAAAAAGCTGTGAATGTTGTGTATAAAGACATTCTATAATATATTTACTATCAGCATTGCACCCGTGCGAAGCATAGTGTACAAATAATACCATTAAAACAATCCCTAACCCCTATCCCAGTATGTTTGAAGAAGTTTAACTTCAGTAGCGTGTTGTATAATTACATGTTGTACATTTTTTTTTACCGTTTCTGGAATAGTCATTTGGTCGACTATTGCTCGTACGCCTCGTTTAAACTCTGCCACCCAATACGTCAGTGTTGAAAAAGAAGGTGCAGATTCTCCCAAAGTATAATCTAACTCGGCCTCGATATTGGTTGCACCAAGTCCTTTCAAATGAAAGCATTGAATCACATAACGATCACCAATGTTCATAAATTAATTGAGTGTTCACTATGGATGGCTGTCATTTAAAACATTAACTTATTAAGGTTGGTACTATCTACCATAGTCACTATATTTTAACCACCGCTATGTTCGTGTAGGCTGATGTAAATGCGAAACATTAGTTCTTAACAATCAGTAAAAAATTAATATAAAAGAAATGCTATCGATTTTTTTTGCGGCTTATTTTAGATAGTATGGGTTTAGTTAACATTTGGTTTTAACGGAACGGAGTCGTGAACCATATGGGACATGAAACTGTTAATTCTCGTAACAGTGAAGTGACTTAGTCACCACTATCATGCGATCTGATATCCTGCGACATTTTTTGTGCATATTCGTAAAGTCTAATAAATTTTCCATGTAAGAAATACCCGAAATTAACAATAGATCTAAACCTGGAAACCAAACATTCGCTTGATAAAACTAGACCAATGTTCGACCAATTTTTTACCCACTATAAACTACCACAGGTTAATGAGGAAAAATTTGTTATTCTTGTCACACCCTCACTGGGAATCGAACACGAGACCTTTGGCTTTACGCACCACTGCTTTGACCACTAAGCTACGATAGATGACAACAGCAACAACGACAAACCGTACTTATTAGGTCACAGATCAGTGAGTTTTTACATTAATATTTGATGTTAACCACTATTAAATGTCAAAGTGTTTCATATATATAGTATTAAGTATAGGTTTGTCAATATTAGTCCAATGCTCGGTTAATATTCAAGTTCGGTACATACTGTTTTACCTAAATATGTCGAACACTGGCCAACAAAGAACTGTTACAAAATATTGTAAATTTACTATACATTTACAACATAAATGTATGGAAAAATTTTACGAAATTTGAATTGTGTGTTTGTAAATGTATAGAACAAAGTAATTTTACTATTTTCGTGTAATCATAAAACACCTACTGTAATTTTGTTAATTATGCTGTATTATCAAACAAAAAATTTTTCACGGATGCATTTCGGTCACGGCAATAATACACGGATGCGTGTACATCCGCTTTTACTGATAATAAAGTCAAAATCTCCACACATAGTGCTTGTTATGTTATAGCGTTCGTTGTACGTAAATGTTTATCTACTAACTCAAATTATGATTTGCTTTTAGAGAATATGCACATCATCAACGTACTTCATCTGATCACCCTGAAGCAAGACAATTAGCGTTGACAGATTTTTTGCAGTAGTAACGATAGGTAACGAGAAACATAAATTGCGATAATATTATTTTTGACTTTTTAATGTCTTCACAATCATATAATTACTGAAAATTACTTGTCTCTTGCTTATTATAAAACATTAGAATAATTGACTTGTTAATAGATACTTAACGGTATTAGTAATTTGATTTTAATAGTTAAAACGTATTTATCACAAATAAACATTTATTCGAAAGAAACATTTAAAACTCTTTTCTCCGATTGGAAAATAATGAAAGGCAAACATAAACGCAAAAATTCAGGCAAAATAGAAGGTAATGATTTGGAACCCGTACCCGCCGGATCCGGCAGAAGATCCTGCCGAGTACTGGAAAATGACGCATGGTACTGGGCAGTGGCGGGTAGTTCTAATTTTGGTATCCCTCGGGAACAATATGTGTTTTGTAGATAAAAGATACTCTATGTTTTTTTTCTGTACCCCTGACAAAGCGTCTACAAAATTTCATGATCGATTATGTAGTTAAGGCATGAAATCGATTGCATAGAAATAATTTGTTTCTATCCGTCGGGAACAGTTTTTTTTTTTGAGGAGAGCCCTATGTCGTTTTATGTACCTCTGACAATGTGTCTATAGAATTTCATGATGATCGATTGAATAAAGGTGTGAAATCCGCCACATAAAACTAATTTTTTTTCTATCCCTCGGGAACAGCATTTTGTCTGGATAAAAGGTACCCTATGTGCTTTTCCGAATGTGTACAAAATTTCATGATGATCGGTTGAGTAGTTAAGGCGTGACAAACAAGCACAACAAAAAACTACCTCCTGAAAATTGGTAATTAAGATTTTTTTGGAATAGGCACTAATTTGTATTATTTATTGATTACTATACTAAATATTATTTGTTGTTTCTATATAGTCTAGTTTACATTTTTCCGTAAACACGAATACATCATTATGGCCGAACTGTTACAATTTCTGTCGCTGGTTGATATTCTGGTTTTGAAACGACAACTTCTTACCTTACTAGTATAATTTTGTCACCTTGCAGACTTTTAGTATTTATAAACAATATAGGCTCGTGTCGACGGTTTCGTATTAACCCATTCGTTGAAATCTGTTAACCAAGAATTAAAATTTTATTGGTTTAGTGTTCAAACAACTGTTTTAACGGGACTTGCTGTTTAGAACGTTGGTAAGGGTGGTACTTAATGGAAATCCCGACCGAACGAAGGTTAACCATTAACCATAGTGGTTTTATCAGGTACACGGTTATCCGATACCCGGAAAATCTTTATCTGGTACATTCGGTGATGCCGAATTCCTTCCCGCAGGTAGTTTTGTTTAAAATATAGATAGTCGAATTCCCTCCCGGGTACTAGCCGAGTTCCCTCCCGTTCATATCAGCTCCGATAATTAAGTTAACGACTACTTGCCGATTTTATTTATCGAAAATAAAACCGGTGATGCCGAATTCCTTCCCGCAGGTAGTTTTGGTTAAAATATAGATAGTCGAATTCCCTCCCGGGTACTAGCCGAGTTCCCTCCCGTTCATATCAGTTGCGATAATTAAGTTAACGACTACTTACAGATTTTATTTATCNACATAAATTTCACGTTGAAAATCTAGTAAAACAAGGTCACTCGCCGCCGTTGGGAGGCAATTGATGTATAATTGGGAGGGAATTCGACATACCGAAAATTTTAACCCTAATTAAAACCAGGTATATAGGAGGGAACTAGGCATTATCCGGTACATCTACATCATAAATATTTTCTAAGAAGCGAATGCTCCTTACAAGTATAACTGATACATGAGTAGGGAGTCGTTGCGGAAACTGTCAAGAGTGTTACCGTCACAGAAAATATAAAAGCTAAAATTTGTAAGACATCGTCAAATATTTGCAAAAAAAAATTATAGTTATGTGTTTTGAGTTTAGAATCCGGATATTGATTTCGTAATTGAAAACCTCCCTTGTCCAGATGCCTTGCAAACCAAACCAAACCAAATCCGGGAAAACCGGGACGGATGGCAACTCTAAATTAATTAACCTGCATCCACAAGTACTTTTTAAATGCAATAAGAATACAAAATCTACTACGAACAGCGTAAAAGTAATAGGTTTTATTGGATATATACATTAACGTTTGCCGAATAAATAAATATTTTGTGACGCTTATTTCAGAGAATTTTTATAATTGAATTACACTGAATAATTAAAAAAAAAAGGATAAAGTATGTTAAAATACTGACACTATATCAATATCTCTACAGCAACCGTTTATCTGTGATATGTTGGAACGTTTTTAAGGATATATTGCAAATACAGAAAATAAGTTGTTAGTTTACCGAAAGTTTCATTAAATAATGAAAAGGAAATCTTCAAACTTAATGTGACTTAAAAAATTAATTAACGACACGAGTAATTTATATATATAAAAATGAATGTTTATCTGTATGTCCTTTATAGAATCGTAACTATATATTTGATCATGTGATGATCTTTAGCAAAGTTATTGTGCATGAGCCAAAGAAGGTTTCTGAGTTGGTACGACCAATTTTCGATAGGAAAAACAAGAAATATTGTGTTTCCCACAGCATGAACACAATCAATAAAATGACTCAAAATGAATTGAATATTTGTGTAGTCTTTCTTTCAAATTTATTTTAGTTGGTGGCGTAGCAACTCGCGCAGGGTACAGCTATTATTAAATCAAAATAAGCATTTTAAAGCCACCCCACTGACAAATTTATTCAAATGGTTACATGGTTGAATAAAGTTGTGTTCATTCGACTGCAAATAAGTGTAAAATTCAAAAAAACATTTACTTACCCCTTCGTGGTATAATCAGCGAGATGCCCCCGTCTCAGCTGTTACAAGTGATTGCAATCTGCAAATAATTTTTTTTGTTACTTATTTATATAAAAAACTTTACACTTTACAAACCCTTTATACCTTTTTGTTGTCAAAAAAAAATTAATTTTTTTTTAAATATTTGAATTAAAATTATTATCAAAAAAGAATTACCTAAAGAGAACAATTATTGACAAACAAATTTCTATTCTAATTGTTCTGATCAAGATGAAAATAAGGAAAATTACATTCTTGGTAGACGGAACAATACCTACTGAAATGAAATTTGAATGCACCATAGGTAATTATAATACACGTAAACGAGCTTGATGAATAAAGTATCGTTTCACATCTGATAGAAACGAGTTCATTAAGATACACATTGCTGTTAATTGTAGTTCAAACAATGGCAAAACTAAACAGGTAGGCTTTTTGAGATATCAGTTTTCAATAACTCCATTTTCTTTACAATTACACAGACATTTGTTCTATAATTTTCAATTTTATACTTTTGTGGGGTCTGAACGAAAAAGATAACGTTTTTATTATTATAAAAATGCAAAGCAATATTATATAATTAAGGCTAACAGAAGTAGAAATAGGAGCAGAGGTAGACCTTCGATCACTGTTCACAAATAGTTAAGGATTTAGGATATCCTACTATCACGGAAATGTGTATCTAACCGGTATTAGTTCTGACAACTTTTTGAAAAAAGTGGCTTGGTAGATAGATAAACAGACGGACAACGAAGTGATCTTATAAGGATCCGTTTTTCCCTGTAACCCAAGCCGAAAAAATCTTTTTATATTTCAATATGCTCTAATATAAATCTAATAATTGCTATTTGCAGCACTTGCTGTAATTAGTGGTTTTATCGTAGTCTTGTCCTGTATGTATAAAACAATTTATTAGTGTGTGATTGGGAACAAATAATCAGCGAATATAAATCAACCTGTTATTGAGAAAAATTAATTACACCCTGTACAGTTTCAAGCAGAATTTACTGTCAGACATCAAAGTAAAATTTTCGAATACCCTAAATAGAAAAATAATTTTTTGTTCGCTTTAATATGAATCTGTCTACATATTGCACACTACTAATTAAAAGTGCTTTAATTAAGCCCATAAGTGGATAAATAAAATCGATTTTACCATTATCTTTCCGCACATTATACATGTGGGTGTAGATTTATTTATAAAAAGGGTAACTCTTATTAACATTATTTTTAAACATACGTAAATAGAAAAATTATTTTTTGTTCGCTTTAATATGAATCTGTCTACATATCGCGCACTACTTATTAAAAATGCTTTAATTAAGCCCATAAGTGGATAAATAAAATTGATTTTACCATTATCTTTCCGCACATTATACATGTGAGTGTAGATTTAATTCTAAAAGGGTAACTCTTATTAACATTATTTTTAAACATACGTAAATAGAAAAATAATTTTTTGTTCGCTTTAATATGAATCTGTCTACATATCGCACACTACTAATAAAAAGTGTTTTAATTAAGCCCATAAGTTGATAAATAAAATTGATTTTACCATTATCTTTCCGCACATTATACATGTGAGTGTAGATTTATTTATAAAAAGGGTAACTATTATCAACATTATTTTTAAACATATGTATTTGTAACTGTCCAGGTTTAAGTGCAAAAATTGTATAAAATGTATTCTTCTTTCTCACATGTGCCTAATAATATTGCAAACAATTGAATGCTTTTGTGATTAATTGCATGGCGAACAAAACACAGACGTGATATCTAGTTATCTTACTTCAGAATGTAGAGGCCGTCGATGTAGGTGGCTGAAAGTCGAGATCGGTTGGCTATCGCGATGGCACTTTAAGAACTGACCACTGGTCATTAGACGATCACTTTATCATACATATCATTCAGGACACATCTCATTGGTTTGACGACAACGCGTACGTGTCGACAATTGATTGTTGTATCGTAACCATGACAGTTTGGCAAATACAAACAAACTTCCGAAACGAACCTCAATATTAGAGGGTAAATGAAAAATACAAAACATTAATGGTTGCTAACTCACGTCTATTACGAGATAGAGGCCTGTTATTAGGTAATTATTTCCGGCGAGGCTTTCATCTTATCATTTTTCTATCGTGCTATATTATCGACTTTTGTCGATATTCAATCGAAATAATTTATTTGAAAGGACAAATTGATTTATGTATGTAGTGTTCAATTAATTTTTAATGACTGTTGTAATTAGAGGTACTCATGCAGTAGGAGTAAAATGTTTAAACTGAACTAATATTCAAACGTTCTTATCGTTAGTCCACATCCATCTTGTAAAAATTGTGAAAGACGTTTACAAATAATCACGGATCTATATCTGCTTTCAATGTTAACATTTTTGGTCATAACGCAATATGAATATTGATACCATACATCCACGATAAGATTAGAATACTGTTTTCCACGGGATATCACTAAAGTAACACTCTTTTATGGGACCATAATTTATACGAGGCAATCCCAAAATTCACCGGCATGATAAAGAAATAAAAACTTTGGCAAAAACATTATTTATTTCTCAAATAGTCTCCTTTTAGATGGATACACTTTTCTTGTTTATTCGTAGTAAGTAATTTTTTTTCAAATTTGTAAAGAAAATAGACTGAGGGGGTTAAATTTGGCGAATAGGGATAAGCGCTTTGCCGTCATGAAACAAGACATTCACTTTTATCAATACGGCCTTTTTTTATTTCATTACTCACTGTAATAAGTTCACATAATACTCGCTGTTGATAGGCACTAACCATCTTGCACACAGCCTTCTCATATCCAAATATTCAGTAATTGCGATGCGCAGTACTTTTTAAAATGCCTACCATTTCTGCGAACTATCGCACTTTTAGTCAATGGTCATCCAAAATCATTTTGTGCTTTTTTTTTGGCATTTTTTGGAAGAGTCACCTCATTTGGTCTCGTACCCATGCAAGAACTGCCAGAGTTGACGATCGAGTGAACATTGGCCTAACATTCGGTTGTCCAACTTTGGCATAACGGAGATCATCTAAGGTTGTACCAAGTTAGGCATACAATTGATCTATCAAGAATGGGTAGTTTTCTTTGTCCTAGACCTGGATCAAAGTTGACTGTATTACCTTTGACTAATTAATCTTGGGCTAGCTTTGGATCAGCTTACATTGAGCGGGGACTTATTTTTTATACTTAAATTCAAATAAAATTGTACCTAGGTGATTAAATAAATGATGTAATGAATATTCTATTTTTTATTAATTAAAGACATTAATAGTACCTACTAATAGTTGGTTTT